ATAAAGTATTAAAGGAGACACGTGGTCACATGATGTTTAGATTTGCCATCCATCTTGAATGTGTCTTGATCACACAAACCACCTCATGAAAACTCAAACACTAACTGTTATATGAGGTGAAGAGATTGTTTAACAGAAAATGTTGCTTTCCTGGCATTAGTGTCATCATGGAATAAACTCCAGAATATTTGTATGTGCATAGGAACAGAAGATCAGATTTACATATTTATTTTTGGAAACACATTTTATGTGGTCAAGTATAAATAGAAACTCCAGTCAGATAGCAATCATCAAAGTAAACAGGCCAAAAGAGTGACCTGAACTGAGTGAACTTTCCTCTAGAAAGGGCCTCAATACACACCAGCACACCACACTCACGCATCTTGATTTTGCTCTAAATGTTCAAGCAACCCCACCAAGCTACTTAACCGTGAGCACGGTACATGATTCCGTTAGCGTAAACACAAAAAAGTGTGAATGTTCCAACCTCGCTCTGGTGACCACTGTGAGTCGTACGATGAGCGTGTGCTCGGAGCTGTTCATGTGGAAATATGACTCACGCACCGTTTTACTGATACCCCAACTCAGCACTATCCAAACCCAGAGAACATAACAAAACTTGCCCAGCTTCAGTACTATGCAGGCTCCATGAACCGCTTCTGAAACACTTCAATGCAGCCAAAGCCTGCTGTTTACTTTAGCGTTACTGTTCTGAAAATGGGCTTGGATGTATAAAAATAAATGAGCATCCATTTTGAAGGTTAGATTTGTGTTTATTTTAAAGGTGACATATTATGCCCCTTTTTACACAATATGTAATACAAGTCTCTGGTGTCCCCAGAATGTGTCTGTGAAGTTTCAGCTCAAAATACTCAATTTTGAAAACGCCTATTTTGAGTGGAAGCAGAAACAAGCTGGTTTTCGGGCCTTTGTCTTTAAATGCAAATGAGCTGCTGCTCCCCGCCCCCTTTTCCAGAATAGAGCTGCGCCTTTACAGCTCACATCTGCTAAAAAAAAATCTGTTTTGGTTCTGATTATCATGTTTATCGTGCTGAAATCATGCGTTTTAAACCATATGAGTTTAAACTTCAGATATAAGGTTTTCTGAGCGCACACATCCAAAGCACACGGACAGAAAGCGGCTGTCACAGCATGTGAGTACTAAACTAAATTCTCATTCACACACAAGTTTACGTTAAAAACACACGAGTTACAAAAACAGTCGGTTATGTCTGTGAAGGTAAACAGCTGGGAAATAAATCGCATGTTTATTTTACACTAGGGTGACCATATGTGCCATTTTCCCAGGACGCGTCCTGGCCAGGATTTCTATATTGCCTAAAATATCTAGGTTTTGGCTTTGTTTGCGTGTGCAGACCGATCGGTGTATGACATCAAAATACCTTGAGAGCATTTTGAAAGCATAAGGAACCGTCTGTATGGTATTTTGATGATCGGTCTGCACACGCAAACAAAGCCAAAACCTAGATATTTGAGGCAATATAGAAATCCTGGCCAGGACGCGTCCTGGGAAAATGGCACATATGGTCACCCTATTTTACACCTGTGTGGCAGCAGCAATTTAGCCTAAATAAATCAATAAATGGGACTCTAAATAGTGTTCTGTGCTCGTCTGTGCAGCCAAAGGCAGAACAGTTAGCATGTTTTGCTCAAACTTTCGCCATGGCATTAGAACTAATACACCTTTGTCGCTTGTGAAATCAAAATGACGGTGCCTTGAGTGGAAGTTTAAAGATAAAGGGGTGGTAATATTATAATGAGATCCCTTTGCCACGTCACCAAGGGAGCGAAATCAGACGCGCTGGTTTTCTCAGACGCTTGCAGAAAAAGGCTTACCTAAACAAAGTGATTGGGTTAATCTTTTTCACGTTTCCTTGGTTGGTAGATGCACCGGGGACCTGATTATAGCACTTAAAACCTGGAAAAGTCAGATTTTCATGATATATCACATTTACATGACTATGTAAGATGTGTGGGTGTATGGTAACTATGCGAACCATTCTGAGAATGCTTATTTAGTAGCCATTTATTTGGCAAGCTCAAATTTAGCATGCTAACATAATACAATACACATGGTGGCAGTAAACAAGCTAATGTGATACAATGTGATGAAACCTAACAGGTAGATTAGCTGACAGTATATTAATTACATTAACAGTTACATTAAAATGTTTTCTTATTAAAAATACAACAAAATGACATGAAAATGAATCATCTCCCATCATTTACCAACACATTTGTTTAGGACTGTTTGCGCTTGAAACAGTGCCTGATTTTGACATATTTCTCTCCTGAATCAGACGTCAACTTATTCACTGAAGAAAGCAATATTGAAGAATGAAGAGAGGACTTGTATTTTACCCAGAAGCAACAGTTTGAAGAAAACCTGAAAGAAACCATTTCTTCAAATCTGTTCTGATTATAAAAACAAACTCATCCACATCTTAGAAGGAACAACAAAATGGTACATTTTCAGCTTTCAACTATTCCACTACCTATTTTTCTAATCAAGTTTACACATGCAGTCTGTGAAGAGAATCATACGATTTTTAAAGAAATAACTTCACTATGATATCATGACAACTGTTTTAGTGTCTTCATAATGAGTTCATCAGTTGTGCTCAAGCTGTGAAAAGCCTGTTTAAATTGCACCATTGAATTTCACACCGTCTCACTGTTAAGCATCTTCCCTCCCCAGTGCCATCAGAGGAAGTCTTCACTTCCCTCTACCATGAACCATCGAAAAGGAAGTAACCTCACGAAGCTGCAGAGTCTCTGTATACTGCATTCACTGCATAAACGGCATCTTTTACAGGCAAACAGACGAGCTGAAGGCTGTGAAATCTAAATAAACGGAACATTTGCCTCCGATCTACAGTATTTTGTGCTTTTTAAATCAATCATAATCAAAGTATCTGAAACTAAATTTAGACTTGATTCAGACTTGAAAGAAAAAACGGTTTGTTGTTTAGAACAGTTCCTCTCTTGCCAACTTTGATTCAAGTAAAATTTCACATGCTTTAATTTACACAGGCATAGCTTAAAGGACAAATAAACAGACTAAAAGAACAAGAAAATGAATCGTCTTGCAACAGGGTTATAAAACTAACTTGCAACATACAAAAACTACTAACACAGAAAAACACTAAAAAACACAAGGGCTTTGAGACTTGACTCGTAAACATTTCAGCCAACCACAAGATTTTCTCTAAAGTTCACACCAACATTAGTGGTGTTACTTGTTGAAAAGAAATGTGTTTACCGTCTGAAATAAACAAAAGGAGATTACAATGAGAACTGTACTAATAAAGTACTAAGAACAATCCCAGTGCGATTAGAAAGAGTCTCATATCACGCCTTACTGGTGCTAACAAGCTTTCATGGACTCCTCACACCTGAGCAATCTGCTGGAGGAGTTTGCAGGTTTCCTGCTGCAATATTCCCCTGATGTACTGGTGTCACTGGAGAGAGAGTGAGTGCACAAGTCATAGAGATGCTCGCTCTCTCTTTCTCTCCAAATCAACACTAGCATCCTGTCCGTCTGCAGTGCTACAGCTCAGTGTGACCAATACTCTTCCAGTCAGCACACTCACTCGCCATCCTCTGACAGTCACCATTAGAAGCCTGCTGAGTTCAGCTCAACACAAACATACACACTTGCCAACACACTCTGGTGCTGAACAATATAACGAGCGATATAATGAAAATTCAATATATTTCCGCAATGACTTGTTGGCAGCAAAACATGAACAATACTTTTTTAAAAGCACTTTTTATTTGGAGATATAGCGCCAAATTTACTAAACATTAGAGTGAGAATGCAATCCCATAAAAGCACAGACGGGAGTGGAAAGTTTTAGCACAAATTAAAGAACACAGACACAGCCGCCTCATTTCCGTTAATGACCAATGCAATCTACCAAGAGCAGCACAAATTAGCATAGGGTCGCAAACAAGCAGAGCATGATAATCAGGTGTGGGTAATCTACTTAAAACACAAGTGCAAAATGGGTTAAGTCATGCTTTAAATAATGGCGCACATACCAGTAAACTGACTACCGCAAACATTAGTAAATCACCTTGCATGATATATTTAAATACTCTCCTCCCATAAATTGTGTCTGAAAGGGAAACTCCCCCAAATGCAAATGCATTTGTCAGCTGCAAAAATAACTTTCCATGCCTTTTCATTACTAATGTTTCACTGCGCATTTAGTAAACAATTATTCGATTATTACATTTGTACTGAAATTAACTTATTTGATGAAACATTTTGAATCTACACTACCAGTCAGAAGTTTGGGATCAATAAGACATAAAACATTTTTTCCAATGCTCACCAAGACTGCTTTTATTTGTTCAAAAATACAGTAAAAATAGTAATATTGTGAAATACTACTATAATTCAAATAACTGCTTTAAATTTTAAAATGTAATTTATTCCTGATTAAAAAAGTTGAATTTTCAGCATCATTACTCTAGTCTTCAGTGTCACATGATCTATCAGAAATAATTCTAATATGCTGCTTTGCTGCTTAAGAAACATTTCTTATTATTATCAATGTTGAAAACAGTTGGGCTGATTAACATTTTTGTGGAAACAATGTGCAAAGTTCACAAGAACACCATTTATTTGAAATAGAAATCTTTTGTAACATTGTAAATATTTTTAGTCAGTAAAATTGTTAATATCTTACTGTAATGACCCCAAACTTTTGAACGGTAGTGTAATTGGTAGCATTCGAGATATGTATTTGATACTGTCAAAAGTGTGAAATTTCAAGATAGAACGGTTTTTGCTATTTCGTTCAGCCCTAACACTCTAGGCACACTCACTGACACCCTGAAAAAGTGTTGATGGCTTGGTCATGCTAAATTAAGGCGAGAAACCGACAGCCTGTGGTGAGACTAGGCAGTGAATCCATCCTCTACCTCCTGCAGGGAAAGGTCAAAAGGGAAATACTGAGTTCAGCACTTACTCTGACAAAGTTGTCGGGGAAGAGCCCCCTCCGACCGTCCAGCTCTCCTTCCCACCAGCCGCCCTCATTCTTCCTGATGTTACTGACGATGTCACCGACAGCGATGGTCAACTCGTCATCGTGCTGGGCCTGGTAATCAAACTCCACAATGGCTTCCACTGAGAGAGAGGAAAACAGAGATTTAGAGGTCATGGTTACATACAGGAAGCAGGATATACAGTATTACTGTCTGAGACTCACACAGACTCGCAACTTTCACCATTAAATTAAAATGACAGCTTCATCTACATTAGATCCAATTATGTCTCTTAAAAACTAGATATAATTGTGATCATTACACTTCACCTTAGGAAATGCAAACACATTTTTAATGTGGCTTTTATAATTCAACATGCACAACCCACAGAGATCCTGTTTTGGTAACAAAAACACTAGGCTGTTATAGGTGGTTGCCACTGTGTTGCTATGTGGGTACTAAGATGTTTAAAATGTTTTAATGTGTTGTTATGCTGCTATGTGTTCTGGGTTGTTTCAATGGTTCTTGGTTGGTCGGTCATTCTAAAGCATTCCGGATGGTTTCTATTGTGATTCTAGGGTGCTCTGGTTGGTTTCTAGTGTGTTGCTAGGTGAATCTAAGACACGGTTAGACAATTCTAGGGTGTTTTTATGTTTGGAATATTTTTAGTGTGTTGCTAGGTAATTCTAGGGTGTTCTGGATGGTTTCTAGAGTGTTGTTAAGTGATAAAAGGGGGTTCTGAGTGGTTGCTAGGACATTGCTATGTTGGTACTAAGGTGTTTGGAGTGTTTTAGTGTGTTATAATGCTGCTTTAGTGTATTATAATAATAATGTGTTCTGGGTTGTTTATAGGGTGTTTCTAGATGATTCTAATGTATTCTGGATGGTTCCTAGGGCACTGATAGGTGATTATAGGAGTTCCGGATGGTTGCCAGAGCATTGCTATGTGGGTGTTTGGAAGGTTTTTGCATGTTGTTATACATGTTGTCTATGTGTTCTGAGTTGATTCTAGTGTGTTCTAGATGGTTTATAGGTGTTGCTATACTGTGGTGTTCTGGATGGTTTCTAAGGTATTGCTAGGTGATTCCAAGTTGTTTTGTGTGGTTTTTAGGGTGTTTCTAAGTGATTCTAGGATGTTCTGGGTGGTTTCTATGGCATTCTGAGTGGTTGCTTACAGTTTTAAGTCAAAAGAGCCCATTCCCAAATCTCTATGATATTTTGGTCTATGACCCATTTTATTGTCCTGTTGGAGAAAATGTAAAAAAAGTGTAATCACTTTTAATCCCAATGATTTATTTGTATTTTATTTAATTTGTCGCCACTAAGGTGCAGAAATTACACATTACACCCTTTAAGGGTTATGCAAATCCCCAAAGAACAATAGAAATACTGATGCTTACCACAAAAACTACTTTATCTTGTGTGCTCCGACAACATCATAACTTATTTTATCACATAATCATATATTTACAGCAATAAAACATTTACTGAGATAGCAAAGAAAGATATAAGTCTAGATATGGCTTGGGACTTTCCTTCAATATAAGTCAAAGGGAGTTTTTCCACCCATTTTATTGTCCTGTTGGAGAAAATGTAAAAAAAGTGTAATCACTTTTAATCCCAATGATTTATTTGTATTTTATTTAATTTGTCGCCACTAAGGTGCAGAAATTACACATTACACCCTTTAAGGGTTATGCAAATCCCCAAAGAACAATAGAAATACTGATGCTTACCACAAAAACTACTTTATCTTGTGTGCTCCGACAACATCATAACTTATTTTATCACATAATCATATATTTACAGCAATAAAACATTTACTGAGATAGCAAAGAAAGATATAAGTCCTTCCATAGGAATAAGAGCTAATAGGCCCCTGGAGTATAAGCAGGCATCATGTTTTCTCTGCAGATAGGAGGATTACTCTAGGTGAGATCAAGGCAGGAGCGAAAGCAACAAAACAAGGAGCCGAGAAATTAAAGTGACATGTTATTTTCCCATTACAGCTTATAATATTATAAATAAGCTTTTTGAACTCTAGTGAACTACACAGGTGCTATTTCTGTTTGGGAAGTGCAAGATGAGAATATCATCCTCGCAGCTTTGTGATTCTCTGTGGATTTAAACTGAATTGTGTGTTTGCATGAGGTCATGACAGTGAGGAGGGGTTACAATGAGGATGGAGATAAGAGATGGAGATAGAACATCACAATTATGCGTTTATGAGTCATCAAGCCATGCAAACACAAGACGAGATCACACCCACGCCTCACTCCAATGCAATGCACACTGCACACACACACACACACAGTAGGATACTGCAAAAATCCTTTGTGTCTTCTATACGATGTTTGATCTATATCAGCAGGTTTCATATCGGATACCAACCCACCCGGATTATTGCTCCATGCAGAAGGATATCGATAGCCTACCATTAGATATTCAAGAATACATTAATGCATTGGCCTATATGATCCCTCAGATGAGCCTGCAGAATATTCTGGAAACTGCTGAGCTATGCAGGGAGGAAAGCATGAGGTCGTATAACAGAAATCGGTCAGCCCACAGCCATAACAAACACAAAGGTAACGAATACTTCCAAACATCTGGTGGAACGCGCCTACGCATATGCAAAGATATTAAAAAAAACCTACAGGCGCAAACCCACACACACATAAATACAGAAATGCTACAGTCTGTATTGTTATATGGAAATTTATCATCTCCAATTGCTGATCAGGCCCAGACAGACTCTCTGCAGACTTTTCTCTCCTTTCCTCCACCTTTGTTTTGTCTGTTTTAAAAAGCAAATAAAACAAATACGAATGGACAATTTACCAGGACAGTATAACCATATATTTATATAATTAAAAAAACATACAAGGATTGGGAAATATATACAATTTATAACTGATGGGTGTTCCATTTTTATTGGAAATCAGCTGCGTTCTGTGGAGTTTTACAGCCATAGATCCTATACATTGAATCATAACATGACTTAAATCACAACTATTCTTCCTTCACCTTTCTACAGGCTTGGAACACAATGATGGATCTTCAAAGCAGTATCTTCTCTCTCGCTCAGGGGCGGATTTAGTGATTTGGGGGCCCCAGGCAAAATACAGGAATGGGGCACTATACAATTTCACACATTTACAACCTTGAGGTTCCTTTCACTGTTGCTCGCTGCTGCACGACCGTGTCCCATAGTTGTGTCTAATCTTTTAGATTTTTCATGTACATGTTATAAATAAAGGATTTATTTAATGTTGTTAAACAGGTTATAATAGTATTAGAGTAGGTTGGACACTAGGTGGTGCGTTGCGGTAATTTTCCCTATGCAATTGTCTACACAACGTAAGGCGGTCTAATTCTAAACTTAAAAATATACATTTATTTTTATTTATTTTAATTGCACATTTAAATGAAACTTACATGCGATTATAAATGTACATGCTTAAGGATTATTTCAACCAAACATGAAGTGTGCCTGTGTGGAAAGTGACTGTGCATGGTCCTTCTTGGGTCTTTCACAAAAACGAGTGAGCGCCATTTAAACAAATTAAAATAGGCCCTATACAATATGCACTGTTGCTTAGTATTAAAATTATAGCTTCAGATGCATGATATTTGTAGGGCCCAATGAAACCCGTTTTATTTTTCCCAAATTAGCCTAAGTTTTTTCCCCCCCAAAATCTTTTTTTCCGTTTTAATTTTTCTGGATCCATTTTTTTTTTCTGGATGATTATATAAAATTTTAACAAAAAACATGTCTAATTAATTGAATTCATAAAATCTACTTAATTTATTAATTTGTATACAATAATAGGGCCCTATGAAATTTAAATTTTATTTACTTATTTTTTTTCTGTGTTGTGTATTTTATTTTTTTCTGGTAATCAAATGAAGGCAAAAACATGAATCTATCTTTTATTCCAATGAAAATTAAACAAACCCTTTAATTTTTGTACATTCAAAATGCTACACAACAGAAGTTTACTGTGTCACGAGCAATGTCACGGAATTCGTCAAATATTGAATGAATAAATCAAATGCAATTCAGTACACTTCAATCAAACCGCGATATGGACTAGTGTATGTGAATATTAAATGGCAAAAATACTACAGATGACAACCGCGAGCGTTGTGCGTGCTTCAATAGCAAACTAGCAAACGAAACGCGCGTCTGCGCCGTTCATTCCGTCACATTCCGCGTTACACAGTAAATTCCGTTTTTATGAATAGATTCCGGGATTCCGTCCCCATTTTCTACATCGCCCTACTTTTCTAAGAAGCACGTTCAACGCGGACGCACAGATGGTTGTCGTGGTAATTAACACCACAGCAACCACTTGTGCGTCTGCACTGAACACGCATCTCGCATATACAAAAAAAAAAAAAGCATTTTAGGGGGCCCAAGGCGGTCGCCTACCTTTGCCTAATGTTTAAGTCCGCCTCTGGCAGTGTGATCAGCTTAAAGTTTTACACTAAGAGTTTTAAAAATGTACACCTTTCATGTGGAAATTGCACCACAGTGAGTTAAAGAAACTAATAATGCACCATAACACTATGTGTTTGCAGATTTTTGTTCACAAATCACCGTGCAATCAAATGCATTGATCTACTGGTGCAAAGACACTTGATGAGAAACGATGCGCTCTCTGTCAGTGAGCTGAAGATCGACTATGCGGGGCCACGTTTCTATTCTCACTTCATTCACCGCTTTTATTGCATGGTTAACCGTCGGAATGAATGAGGAATTATCATATCAAAGCTGCGCGTGACATCGCTTCACATGTTGGTTCTTCTCGGCTCTCAGCTTGACATATAGAGCAGTGACGTGTTTAAAGTTTGTTGGCACCGAATCCATAATTTCCCGGCATCCTCCTCCTTAACTGCGGGGACGCGTCGGAAGCGCAGCCGCAGCGCACTTCAGTAACAGCACGTGTGTATATTGCGCCTTTGAAAAGTTTGTCAGCATGACAGCGGCGCTGGGGCTTCTGACACCATCTGTCTCCAGGATCACTGTCAGCCCTATCAGCTCGCGCTCCTGAAGTTTGCGCTCGCAAATATTCCGCCAAATATTAACATTCTTCCAGCTGTCTGGGGAGAAATATGAAAGTGTTCAATAATCTCCCT